AGGAACTGACTATGACCTTCTGAATACTGATTGGTTTACACAGTCAGAAAACCCCTTCTGTCATCTAAACGGGACACCTTCAAGCATTACTGCCATGTGAGGGTAGGGTTTAGGACCTTCACGTTAGTGGTTACCCTGTGGGGTCGTAGAAGATCACATCATTTGTCTCGCACGTCTGATGACTCGTCTCCTGGCATCCGATTCTCATCTGTGCCACCTGTAACCTAGGCTGAGCTTCAGTCGCTGGGCTAACTCAAATGAGAATATCCGGTTTTTCATATTTTCCCACACCAGGTGGTGCTGCTCCTCTTTCCTCTCCCTAATGCCGTGGCAACTGCCTGAGATGTTCTACCATCCATAATTACCTACTATATTTGCTTCAGTAGCCTTTTTTGTCTATGCTATCACATGAAATGCATTAAACAGCCTATGGGTAGCATCCCATTAGCAGAATATGTTCAATATGACGGTATAGGATGTCACCCGTAATGCATTAAATAATATATTAGTAGTAGGAGATTATCAAACTACGTTCTCTATGATCTTTTACCTGTGATGCAGTGAGTGGAGTGTGGTCGCTTGAACTTTGCAGACAGTTTTGGTTTTACCATTTGCTCACCTTCGTTACTTTATTTTCGCAGGGTACTCGTGCCACTAGTTCTTAGCATGTATATTTTTACCGATACTTGGGAAACTTGTGAGTGGTATGTCAATATTTTTTTGAAGTATTAGATATGTTAATCATTTTTTGAAGTCGGTTGCTCACTGAACTCTGCCACCGATTTCCCTTATAGTAGTTTTTTGCACTGCCTCTTTTTCAGTTCACCATATTTACCTAATATTGTTGACTGTTATTTTAAATGAAGGTCTGTTGTAAAGCGGATCTGACTTAATATTATTAACAGACTACCCAAAAGTTTCCCAGGTATCGGTAAAATTTACATTAGAAAAACTAGCGAAGCGAGTATCCTGGCAAAATAAAGTAATGAAGGTGAGCAAATGGTGAAACAGGACCCTCTTCAGATTTCATAACAGTAAAGTTCAAGCGACCGCACTCCAAGTACTGCATCACAGGAGAAGTTCATAGTGAAGGTAGTCAGCTAATGTGTGTTACTAATATGCTATTTTATGCATTACCTGTCATACTGAACATAGTCTGCTAATGGAAGGTTACCAATAGTCTAGTTAATGCATTTCAGGTGATGGCCTATAGCTCGTAAGCATGCATAATAAAGGCTACTGGTATAAATATAGCAGGCCGTAATGGATTTTACCCTGATGGCAATGTCCTAGGTGCAAAGGATCTACTGGTCCTAGGTCGTACCAAAAGGTCTAGGGGAATAGACCCCTATTCGGAAATTATTTTAATGGGATGAGTGACTACTTTCGCATAAGACATACTATCTTTATCTGAATAAACAACAGTTCATAAATAAAATCTCAGGAAACCTCATGAATTGGCCATAGTAATTGATCAATATTAAATGATCAGCATACGAAATAACGATATGGCCTCCAGTTGGCCACTTTGGACTCCGTAATATTATTTTCTTTGTGTTAAATGTTGTAGTCGTTTCATTTAACTTACGTTTGTGATCTCTTTGGTCCGTTATTCTGTGAATATTTCATGTGCATTATATCTTTATGCCGTACCCTATGCCACTAATGATTTACTGCATGTTTATTAAATGGGAAACATGTCTAAAACGGCAGTTAAACGGTCTATTTATCGTTTTTTTTATTATTGGTGGTTCGCACTAGAAAAACAAGCGGGTTTTGCGCCAGAGGAAAACCTACTATGTTGAGATGGGAGAACTTCCCCTCCCCTCAACGTTGAGTTAATGGCTGTGGCAATGGCTGTGACAATGGCTACGGCTTGGTTTCACAACGCTGGCAGCATCTGGCAGCTGTGGGCCCTGGTTATCTCTCTCCGTCCGACCTATTGCTCCGTTCTGAGTCGATGTTAGCCTTTTGCGGAGCGCTTAATAGGCGGGATGAAGGTCCATGGCTCTGTACAGTGTGCCAGTCAGAACGGAGCGGAGAGAGATAAGCATGGCCGACAGTTGGCAGCCGCGAGCATAAAGGGTGGCAACGCACATGAGACACAAAAACGACTTGGCACAACTCATGAAGACGCCCGG